GTTGAGCTACCTCTCTCGCAAAATCGCGCCGATCTCGCGCGGCCAAAACGCGCCAAGAGTCAGGTGCAGACTCAGCGTTGGTCATCTCGATCGCGACAGTGAACGCGGAGTCTGACACCCACCAAAACGGGTGACGCCGTCAGTGTGTTAGTTCATATTCGAGTGTTTGCAATAGTAACTCTGAAAGCCAGCACCGCTTACACTTGGGCGTCATCCCCCGACAAAATACTGACAGCTGCCTTTGATTAGAGATAGTTCACAATTCTTCGAAAGGAGCTAGTCGCAACTTCCTATTGCAAGCATGCCAGGGTAGAACTGAAGGGTAGTCGGCAAAAATCCTACTTTATTTCACAATGCATGTAAATTTGGTACACGAGGCGTTCCTTCATGCATTATATTACTATTCAAAGTATACATGTAATTAGATATATGATTTTCCATCTAATGCAATTACCAGACATTACTCCTAACAATCGCTCATGTCGGAGTCAACTATTTGGGCGTGTATGCCGTACTCTCTGCTTTTTGCGTCACTACAAATTAACCCTTCAATAATTCCATTATTGGGAATAGTATAATGTTTTATTGATCCAATAATGTATGTTAGCTTTTGGAACATGAGGAACGCCAAATTGACCAAACGAAATTTGTACCCTGCGACTCAGTTGAGTCACTCCCTGGCGCTGATGTCGACGGAAACGCTGTAAATGTTCCAAAGTCACCTGCTGCCGCATACGTAGTAGAAGCCACTTCATTTAAACACGCTATTGATCTAACACTGTTTTCTTAGTTTTCTTCATAACACAAGCGCCTACAACGAACTTGCTTCATTATCTTTACGGTTACACACAATCATTCACAGTGAGAAACAAACAGAAGCAGTAATTAGTAGAGAAAAGAAAAACGGTCAGAGATCGTGGCAGCAGAATGTTGTATTCGGGTCAAAGAAATTATGCCCTCTCTCCACGGATACGGCGAGCGAGCTGAATATCCTTTGGCATGATTGTAACACGCTTGGCGTGGATTGCACACAAGTTTGTGTCTTCAAACAGACCAACGAGGTAAGCCTCCGAAGCCTCCTGAAATAGAAATTTCCAATTGAATACTAGTACAATAGCAACAATAACTGCGTCAACTTGATTGGCTATATTGATCTGTGTGGCCCCGACAACTCCCATCATAAAAAAGCAGATTAACACCACAAAGACCAATGCCGGAAAACTGCCGCGCAAAGTTGGAAGGTTCGTGGATAAAGTGTAAGTGGGTTAACTAGAAATTATGGCGCCCATTTCGTTGGGGGGACAATCAAGTTAATGGGCCAGTTGCTGTGCTTTGGACTAAGCCTTAGACAGGGGAAGGAATTTTGGTGAGAGGATGCAGCAGTATATGTCTTCCTGGCGTTTTCCCCTCTCCTGGGCGTAGTTCTAGTGTCACCCAGCATCGGCTCTGTTGTGATGCCCCCTATGCACATGGGCGCCAAGAATATTTTTAGGTATGGAAAGATACTAGGTAATAAGAGAGCCACAGAGAAGCAAGCCTTGGAAGTACTGATGTTTCATAATGAAAGCGATGCCCAAGAAGCAAAAAATGAGTGCTGGTGCTTCCAAGGTAGTTCCTCAGATTTTGTTACAGTTATATGTTGGCACTGCTACATAATTGTTTTGGGAATCATTCACCAAGTCTAATCCACTGCTTTCACCTTTGAACAGGAAAATTAGAGGCGCTACTCTCCTGCAGTACGTGCACATTCATAGTCGTCGTCCGCTCGCAACGATCGTGACGATCGCATAGGCCGCGGTCGCATAGGGCGAGCGACGCGGTGACCCAATGCAACCCAAACAACGCGTGAGTATGCGCCACGGTATTTCGAAATTCCGATTGCTCGAGTGTAGAGCTTTATATGCGAATCGATGATGGCACGTTCGATCGTTGGGCCGCTGTCAGAGTCCGCGATCCGTCGCAGGTTTCGCGCGATTCGCGCGACGGGTCACGAAACTCAAGTGCCCGATCAATACTGCAGGGTGCTCTCAAATCCCGACGCCATTCCCGGCTTAGCCCGCTGATGGCGCGTATTTCGAAACTGCCACGTGGCGACGAAATAGTAACTGCCCCTTGGACTAAGCCTTGGAGGAGCAGACGAACAGAGCGCCGCGCCGCCGCGTGGTCCCCCCAACCCACTTGGCACCGTAAATACTGCTCCCATTTACGAATCTCAAGTCTTCCAGTTTCATAAATGAAGGGCTAATGTGGCGGCGGAGAAAACACTGCCAGGTCAAAAACATTCAACCCAGTTCCCAGTAGCGTTCTTTTGAGACTCCTTGAAAAAAATTCCAGAACGGATATTTAGTTTCACAGCCGGCATTTTTCCAACCATTCCGCTCAATTAGTTGCTCTACTCCTTTGCTTACCTGCAGGGCACCGATAGCAGCTGACTGGAAGCGAAGATCAGTCTTGAAATCTTGCGCAATTTCACGAACAAGACGCTGGAACAGGCAAAATGAGTAGCAATTCAAAACATCAAAGTAAAAAAAAAACACTGGAAACTCACCTGGAACGGCAGCTTACGGATCAGCAGCTCGGTCGACTTCTGGTAACGACGGATCTCACGAAGAGCGACGGTTCCCGGGCGGTAACGATGAGGCTTCTTCACACCTCCGGTTGCCGGTGCTGACTTGCGAGCGGCCTTGGTGGCCAACTGCTTTCGTGGAGGCCTTGCCTCCAGTAGATTTACGAGCGGTCTGCTTGGTACGTGCCATTGTGGGTTATAGAATAAGTTCAAGAGAATGACCTTGACTGAAAAAGCACACTTTAAATCTGCTACAACTCCCACAAGAAACGATTAGGTACATAAAGCTCATAAGTAAATCACACCGGTCAGAAATATGGACACATTCCAGTAACATATTTCAGCTAAAAAGTAGTTGACTTGACGCTCCAACTTTTCAACCAAAGTTAAGGTCACCCAATGTGGAGCAAATGAATTAACAATGTCAAAAGTACTAATGAAAGAATTGAGAAACTGGTTTATTTTCGAAAACAGAGCTGTAAGAGAGGACTTGGGAAGTTACGGTAAACAACTGTGGTGAGCTACCGTTGGAATGCTTCTTAAGGAGGAGCGCCCCTTGGTAATGCTGAGGTTGCTCCAGCGAACAAAACGAGAGACTGACACTTAGACAAAATCGAAACAGTTCGGGACTGTACGGGAGATACGGCCTGCGGGCAAAAGTAGCGTCACTTGAGCGGGAGTCACGCGCTT